CAAAGATTCAATATATATATATATATATATATATATATATATATATATATATCGAGGGTTCAGTGACACAAAGACGTAACTCTATATTTTGCCAGAATGAGTATTTGATATCAAAATGTTAAGATATATGTGAGCTTTCAATGAAACACAAAGTCTTATTAAAACACCCCATTGAAGTTAATGGCTAGTGAAACATAGACTTAACTCATTAAGGCCTAAAGGCTCAGTGACACATAAACCACTTTTTCTCAAAATGGCCAAACTGGAGTTACGTCTTTGTGTCACTGACCCCTCGATATGTAGCTTCTGAAGTAGTACAGACCCAATTCCATTCGATTCTTTTAGGTTTGGTATTATTATAAAGGAAATGCGTGATTCATGGATTCGAGAGTACCTTTTGTATTTCCTTCCTCCCTGCAAACTGCGTAGTGTTTTTATTACTTGTATTTTCTTTGTTCTCTCATAGGCCTACCAACGCCAGGACCTAGTTCAATGGTTCATGTTTTTTGTGATTGAGTGTAGACTGGATTGATCGTTTTCCACTTATCGCCTTGACCTCTTAAAGGTTATCTTTTATTGTTTGACAGATGTGGACATTTAAATGTAGGTATTTAGAAATGAGTACACAGGGTGACGTTGGAGGAACATCTGGGCCCCGTTGCACACAACTTATCATTTATGATAACTTTCCCATCAATGGTAACTACAATGGAAATCTTGATTTTGTTTTGCTGTTGAGCCTTGTAACCATGGTAGTTGCCTTTAATGGCCAATTTACCATCAGTAGTAAGTTTTGTGCAACGGGGCCCAGCCTGCAGTACCTATTGCTAAACGTGATACAATGTGTATCAAATGTATGTCAAATTTTTGAATGTGTGTATTGATATCGAAAATACAAGAACAATGCTTACATAATACATTAAGGCGGTGATATGCGGATTTATGGATGATAACATTAAATTAAACTAGCAATTATGTAGTGTTTATGGAACATTTCATTATTGATCTCGAATATTCACTTCTTTTTGCATTAAAAACGGTTTAAACTTCATGAAACATTTCCAACGCTATCAAATACAATCTTATTGCTACCAATAATTGTCCATTCCCTATGCAATAACTTCTAGTGTGGTTTAAAAACATTACGAATAAAAAAAACACGAATTATAATGATTATCATGTATTGTATATAACAAAAATCGATTCTCGTGATATTATTTCCTGAATTATAATGATAACCATGAACTATTGTAAAAAATAACATTCAATTCTCGTGATACTATTTCCATTTCATAGCAACACCAGTGTCATTATCCTGCATACCAAGTTTTTTAAAGGTAATACAAAGTTTTGGAATGGGGTCCTGAATTTATTGAACATTTTGGAAGCATATGCGATCCTACAATATTCAGTGATCGTTGTTGCGGTTGAAATCGAGTCTAAAGTTATGAAATTTTAAATAATAAACTCTTTAAGTTGTATACGTAGCTCCCTCTCAAGGTCAAGATATTAATTAAACTATAAAAACAATGTTTCTTGACTAAAATCGATCGATTTGGAAATTATATATCACAACTACGTATTCTGAGATTTTCATGGTCGCTATTTGAAATTCATCAAAGTTTACCGGGAGCACCGGTAAATTTTTCTCAAAAGCAGAAGTGTTTTAGGAACTTAATTTTCTTGTGCTTATAATACATCCACAGGGGCATCCAGATATATCAAGATTGTAAAGAATCACTATCCAGCCAATTTTCAAAATTTCCCAAAACTTTGTTTTACCTTTAATATTGTCGTGTGATTCGAATCATTTGTGTATTCCTCACCTTGAACCAAAATGGTTGCCTAATTTGTTTAACTGATGAAGTACCTTTTTGATGACATATCCAACCACAAATGTACGTTCAACTTCCTACTTTTCCACTGCCGTATATTGTATCATTGGGGTACGAGGCAGGGGGAGGGGGGGGGGGTGGGCTAGAGGGCTGCAGCCCCTGTAGATTCTTAAAGTCTCTATAATTATTCAGGCTACTACCAACTCGAATTCTGGTAGCGAGGTGCCTAAATATGCTCATAATGGCCAGCGAGGTGACTGAACATGAATATGCAATTTATGAAAGTTTTACTAAACAAATCAAGAGTATAATATTTATGTTTGGGCAAAAGGCGTTGATCCAGTTTTCCTTTAAAGCTTATCTGCCGTAGTTTACAGGAGGGATTAGAGCGCCCTGCAAGGTCACTGGACAGGTGGTTATCTCATCAACTCAGCTCTCAGTTAACATAAGAATAAGAGGATCATGGGGGACCAATGGTCACCGATTAGGCATTGTTTGTTATATAGAGGGCGCAAGTAGCTACAAGTAGTGCAGTGGGCCTTTAAAAAGGACAACAACGCGGGTGACGTTTCCTAACCTCACTATTGTCATCGATTTGTTGACTACAAAGTTATACATAGGACGTGAGAACAAAGCCAGATGTTTTGGAGAAGAAAAAATAGGATTACAGCGATAATGATTATATAACACGTTAAACCAAACTATTTATATCCATAATAAAGACACTTTTGGAAATGTCAATAGCTTTGGAAATAGACGCCAAAAAATAATGATGACAATAATATGCGATCTGAAATTGAAAAAAGAAATACAGAAATGACTGGTACTACAAAATCGATAAAATATAGCAACAATGACAGACATCCTTTAACTTCCGCTAATATTGTCTGATTTGGGCTTCCTGTTCATCCTTGCGATTTACTCCGATGAAAAAAAAGACGAAAAGCTGTAATTATATGTCTGTTTGCGTTGGTATTTTTCAATGAGGAATATTCTCCATTCTACAAATAAGAAAGAAAGGAATAAAGAATGAAAACGATTAAGGGGAGAGAGAAGGTCGGAGAGGAAAAGAGAAAGGAACGGGAATTTCGGGAGAAATATGACAATTTTAGTAAATTCTCATTTGTCAGAGGGAGAGAGGAAGCGAGAAAGACAGAGAGAGAGAGAAGGAAGGAGGGAGAGATAGAGAGAGAGAGAGAAAACGTGTGTGTGTGTGTGTGTGCGAGAGAGAAAGAGACATATATATATAGAGAGAGAGAGAGAGAGAGAGAAGAGGGGGAGGGGTCGAGCGGTAAGAAAATTGAAGTAAAAAAAAAATCACATTTATCTGTTTTTTATCGTATATAGTTCTTACAAGGATGCCATATATGTTTAAGAAAATAAATTCCTTTTCTTTGATAAGATAAAGTCCAAGTCTATTAAAATAATGCAATTTGTTTAGCAGTACCCTTCCACAATAGTAAAATGCAAAGAATTTAGCACAAGCAGTAATCGTAAAAGACGGACGGTATATAATAGATTTAATTATGACATTTTGACTTTGTAGTGCGTGATATACTAACGTTTTTGAATTAATTTTAGAAATAAAAGGCATACAATTCATTTTAGAGGTCTAGTGGTCGAGTGGATACGTCTCCCGACTGTGGATCGCATGGACCGCGGTTCGATCGCGAGTCCCGCCGCGGCACTAATGTCCTTTGGAAAGCGATTTATCTACATTTTCCACACTCGACCCAGGTAATGTATTATGGGTACATGGCAGGAGTTTAAAATTCCTCGAAATGATTGAGCGCCATGCTAAACTTGGGGTAATAATGTAAAGCGCCATGAGTGTCAAGTCTGACAGAAATTAGCCCTATACAAGAACCCACTATTTTTGTATTATTGTTTTCAAAAATAATTAAAAAATTCAAAAATAGATTAGAGACTGTTGGAAAGAATTCCACTATACCGAAAGCAAAATAATTACACACTGAACATGTCGCTCAAGCATATTGAATAACGTCAATATCGTGGTTTCGTTTTGAGGGGGGAAAGGCGGACATGAATTCTATACAGAGGTTTCATGAAACGATTAAAATGATTGTTTTAACTTCATAATTGTCAATAAATAAATGTAAATCAGACACTCTGTTTAGACTTAAACGGAGAAATTCCCCTTACAATTCCACGAGTGCTTCTAAGTGTCATCACTATCTTCAGGATATCCAACTTGAGGGTCCCATGACTTGTACAATTACTAAAAAATTATGTACTTTCATTTTCATTTAATTTGTATTGACTCAACTTTCTACATTGAAATCTTTAGCTTTTGATTAACTGCCAAATTAAGATAAATGATTATTATAATTATCCTCATCATCAACAAAATTATGTATTCAAATTCTGATGACGCACTTGAATTGGGGAGGCCAATGTACTACTTTACTAAGGCTGTTTGACTACAGTTTTGGATTACTTACAGTGTCATACTGGACATTGTATTACCTTAAGTTTCTTTCATTCTCGCTCCTTTTCTCTCTCTCTCTCTCTCTCTCTCTCTCTCTCTCTCTCGCTCTTTCTCTCTATGTTAGGTTACGTATGGATAACTGATTAATATAACCAATAACAATACGAACCCTTTTTAATTCTACTTGAATATGATCATTGGAAAGAGAGAACGAGACATGCATGCATGGATAGGAAACTGGAATGGATAGGGTTGAGTAACTGTAAGAAAGGAGAATTAAGTGAAAGAGAGAAAGAAAGAGAGGAAGAGAGAGAGAGAGAGAGAGAGAGAGAGAGGGTGGACGAGAGGCAGAGAATAAAGATAGTAAGAGGTATTCCGTGTGCATTGTGTGCGAGGGAGCGTGCGGGCGCGGGGTGAGTTAGAGACCGAAACGGACGGGAAGAGTCACAGACAGAGGAGGATTAAAACACTAGGAGTTGGATGAGAAAGGAGAAAATGTGGAAAACAAGAGAGAGAGAGAGAGAGAGAGAGAGAGAGAAGAGAGAGAGAGAGATAGAGGGGGGGGGGGGGTGTATAGGGAGCGAGGAAGTGCATTGTGTAGGCCTATAAATATTTTAAAAAAACACATGAACGAAGCATGGGGATATTATGGGGCTGGGCATGAGGTACAGTAACATAAGAGAACATTACATAAGAATGAGACTCTACTACTTGGCTTTTTTCTTCACAAAATTATTGCTTTATTTTTCACACACAAAAATAAACATCTATAATTGGTTCGGGGCAAAAGTCGAAAATAATATTCAACATTGCCTGGTACCCTGTCGACCTGTTCGGACATTTCCTACTTTACCCTGTATTCCGATATTGAAATGATTTCGTTCGAAATTAAAGCACACCGTTCAATTATATTAAAATAAACCGGAGAAATTTCCTAAAACCTGTTATCCAAATTGCACTTGATGGAAGCATATAGGCTTATCCAGTAACATTATCATCATGAAGTAACCGATCAGTTGTCGCGGAGCTAAAATGTTCATTAAAATAGCCGCTTAATTTAGTTGTTCCTCTTGATTCCGCTGATCCAGTCGTTGTACTGTGTAACCCTAGTGTAGACTCCTGGGTTCAGGGGATCAGCGCATCCGTAGCCCCAGCTGACGACACCGGTCAATTCCCAGGCCCCAGCGCTGTTCTTGCACACGAAGGGTCCACCGCTGTCTCCCTGTGTACAAAAAAGTAAAAGTCAAAATGTTTAACGAAATATGGAACTTCTGTCTGTCATTCCCGATGTTGATTTTCAAAAATATTGTTTAAATGAGTAAAGTCATAATTTTGTATAAGACATGCAGTGCTACAAAATGTGATCATCAGCTAGAGGCTAAATAATAATTCATACCCCCCACCCCCTAAAGACAAAGTCCTCAATATCATGTGCTCAGATTTGAAAAAAAAGAAAGAAAGAAGCAAGCAAAACCAAAGAAATAATCCAAAGAAAAAAAACAACGAGATAATCGAACTTTTTCAAATTGTCAACAAATCATTTCCAAATTTCGTTCAAAAAAGCAGAAAACACGTTTTAAAAATAGGTGTTTTTTCTCCTTCTCGATTGGAGCCAGGGTTTCAAAACTGCCAGATGGTCCACAGAAATAGTTAAATGGGTGTGTGTGTGTGGGGGGGGGGGGGTGTCTCACTCACCAACAACCCCCCCCCCCCCCCACCCCCATCCTGAATAAAATGGAACACATACCTGGCAAGAGTCCATGCCACCGGAAGAGTATCCAGCGCAGAACATGTTGTCAGTGATCTCGCCATTGTACCACGAGGGACGATTGCACACCTTGGTGTCGATGATGGGTACGTAGACCTGTTGGAGCTCGGCATTGTCGATGGCAGCTAAGGAAAGACGGAAACAGGGGGTTAAAGGAAACCAAAACCTTCATACTAAGTTACTTTTATTGTAAAGTTTAAGATATTTGAAAAATATCAGTGAAAATTTGAACAAAATCGGGCAAGGAATAAGGAAGTAAGAGCTTTTTGAAATGACTAGTCACTAGAGGGCGGTATTCAATTTGATGACATCATCTGTTAACAACTCTCCATGCCTTTTGTACATAAAATTTCACAATTTTGTTGTTTTCTTCGTATTTATTTGTGTTCTTGATCCGACTTCATAACATGTGAAGTAGAATATCATTTTGCATACTATATCTTGCTTTCGGGGTAGTACATTATCTCAATCACAAGAAAGAAGGAAAAATATGAAACTTGATGTACAAAAGGCATGGAGAGTTGTTAACAGATGATGTCATCAAATTGAATACCGCCCTCTAGTGACTAATCATTTCAAAAAGCTCTTACTTCCTTATTCCTTGCCCGATTTTGTTCAAATGTTCACTGATATTTTTCAAATATCTTAAACTTTACAATAAAAGTAACTTAGTATGAAGGTTTTGGTTTCCTTTAACAGTGACGATCATTGACTGAATTGATAAATAGATATATTATATGAAATAATAATACTAACAAATACAAATAATGATTAGAATACTAGTAAAATACATATAACGCCTAGGCTATTCCTCTCTCTCTCTACCTTGTTGTCTTTTAAAATCTCTTCGTTTTAATTATCTTGTTCATTCTCCTTATCTCTCTTTTTGTATTTCTTAAATAAAATGCTACTTTCTCTCACACCTCTTTTCTATCTTTTTAAAAATATATTAATATATATTATTCCCTCTCATAATTTCTCTCCCACCCTCTCTTCCTTTCTCCTATAAACTCTTACGTCTAATAATTTCGCTTTCACACTTTCCCTCTTTAATCTGTTGTAATATTTTTCATCTTGATTCTCTCCCTCTCTCCCACCCCCATTCTCCCTCTTGCCATTCTTTCCGACTCTCCCTCTCACCCTCTCACCCCCATTCTCTCTCTCTCTCTCTCACCCTCTCACTCTCTCACACACACTCTCTCTTTCACCCTCTCACCCTCTCTCTTTCTCTCTCTCTCTCTCTCTCTCTCTCTCTCTCTCTCTCTCTCTTTCATACACCCTCCTACCCCACCCCATTATCCACTTACCCTCCTGGTCGCCCCAGCCGGTAACCACGCACATGGTGTCGGCGGGGTAGTCGGAGGTGGCCACACAGGCCTCACTGATGGCGTCGTTGAAGTCGATGGGGGTCTCGAGCTTGAGCATGGCGATATCGTTGTCGAGGGTCATGGAATTGTAGTCCTCGTGGACGAAGATGCCGCCGAGCTTGGCGTTCACCTGGGTGGAATCTACTTCGTCGCGGTCGTGGGATCCGAGTGTGATGGTGTAGTCGGATAGACGCTTCCAGCGGCTGTAGAGATTAAAATCCTCTTTTATTTAATCTATTTATTTATTTATGTATCAATCTATTTACACATTTTATTGGTGTAGTTATTAATTCATAAACGAATAAATAAATTCATTCATTCATTTATCTTTTTTAATAATTTCGGCGGTATGCATTCATCTTCGTGTCAACACTCAAAATATATTGTCAACAAAACGTGTAAGCCATGTTGTTAAATTATGTAATGCAATAAAGTACCTCCAAAGAGGAAATAAATTATTGAAGATAATAATATGTAATATGTAATTATTCATTTTGTTTATTAACCATATGACTCTGTGACAGTGAATTACAACGTTAGTAACATACAGTGCGATAAAAATGATAATACCCCAAGATTAGATTTTCATAGGAAACACCAAGGAAATATAACTTGGAACATCGCCCTCCAACAGTAACTCAATACTTTGAAGTTGATGGAGGCGGAAAGGAGGATCGGAGATCTACAATCTAATGAAATGTGAAAGTGAACATGGAAACGGCGTACATATTTCCAACAGACTTCTTTCTTTGACATTCTATACTTATTATCAATGTATTGTTCTATTTATTTACTTATTTTGACACATCTGATTCCGAGGCAGCCATGTTAACCAGTAGGTGACCAATGAACAAAAACAACACTGAAAATGTATTTAAAGCATTTTATTCATAAGGTTCTTATTTTCCCAGCATTGTGATGATCATTGAAAACATCCTTGTCAATCACATTGTATTGCGTGACAGAATTCATCCTGTTTTCATTTGTTTTCATTTTTTTATTATTAGGAAATAGGAAAGTTAAAATAGTTCTTTGACTTTTGTGGTAATATAATCGGTACTTATCATCTTTTTTTGGATAAACTTGATCTTAATGGCCCACTTCATTTTGTTATGAATATCGAAAGTTAAAACAAATGAAATGAAACAATAATAGATTAAAAAAAAATAACATCATAATCACATTTAACATTGAGGAGATTACCAGGAAATAGTCTCATATTCCCGGTGTCATGATTTTATCATTAGCCCAATTTCCATTTAATACAAACACATCTTTTATCATGCGTCAGGGAGTAAAAATAAAGACAAATCGGAAATGAGATGGTGAGTATGAAGAATAAAAAATATCCCTAAATTTTATTGGATGTATGACTTAACAAAATGTATGATTACTCTTTGGCCAAATTGAAGGTAATTCGTATTGTCTCTTTTCCATGGAAATTAATCAGCCTTGACCACGTGAACAGTAATGTCACAATATTAAATAAAAAATATCCCTAAATTTTATTGGATGTATGACTTAACAAAATGTATGATTACTCTTTGGCCAAATTGAAGGTAATTCGTATTGTCTCTTTTCCATGGAAATTAATCAGCCTTGACCACGTGAACAGTAATGTCACAATATTAAATAAAAAATATCCCTAAATTTTATTGGATGTATGACTTAACAAAATGTATGATTACTCTTTGGCCAAATTGAAGGTAATTCGTATTGTCTCTTTTCCATGGAAATTAATCAGCCTTGACCACGTGAACAGTAATGTCACAATATTAACTATTGACGGAAAAGTATTCTCTATTTTTTCCTTTTGGCACGCGAATTTTCAATTTAGATGCAATCCCCCAAAATGTAATCAACGATAAGAACACAAGATACATGGCATAATGTGGGACATGAAGAATGTAAATGCAATATACAGAAAGTGTAAACGCGATATGGACAACATATGATTAAGTCAGAACAAAAAGTATTAATGATGCCACGAGTACCACCTTGGCGGGTTATGTTTCCGTATACGAATCATATACATTCGTCCATATATACACCCTCTTATACACCTCTAAATACAAATGAACATAACAAAAATATACCAATCAATAATTAAATTGTCATATGGATTCCTATATTCAGAGTCATTGATAAATTATGTGAGCATCAGTGCGCAAATGATGTTAAAAGGGTAAACATATTCTTCTGGTATCATAAGCTTTACTATGACAATATTCATCAATATTTTGTTCCTTTTTCTAGGGGGAGGCGGAGGAGGGGAAGGGGGGGGGGGAAGGGGGGGGGGGAGGCGGAGGAGGGGAAGGGGGGGGGGGGGGGAAGGGGGAAAAGGGGGGGGGGGGGTAAATTTTCGCCAGAGATGGTCCTATACCCCATTCGAGAATGTCCCTGAAGTGTTCCCATTCCCACTGTGATCATTCTGTGCTCAAACTCTGTGGTCTTCCTACACCTCCCATCCCATAATACCATACTATACTACTGCTACTGCTGCTACTACTACTGCTACAACTACTTCTAATATTTCTACTACTACTACTACTACTACTATTGCTACTACTAATACTACTACAATTCTTTCTACTAACAATTTTATTCACCCAGGGAAGACACATCAGCATTAATACTCTTCTTTCTGAGGGCCCTGCAATTATGTTTTACTCCATTAATAACTGAATTTTTTTTTCACATGGGTGAAGAGTGGTAAATGTGGATTGATGACTACCCAAGAGATGATAGTTCCGGGCTAGGATTGGAACCCTAAACCCTTAGATTGAGAGTAACGTGAATGAACCACCATACCACGCAACCTCCACCCAGGGGTCATCTAGAAATACTGTTAGCATGCGTGACCACAGTTTTTCCAGACATCCCCTAAACGAGGATTTCTTCTGAAGCCAAAATACACCCTAAATGAGGACTTCGCGTGGGTTTTTCAATAGTCTCGGCAATTGGCAATTATTACCCCCCCCCCCCCCCTATTATCCCGGTATGGCCCCGAGGACTAGAAAAAAAACTAAACTTAACGCGTATACCAGCGCGTACAGAAGGATTTTTTTTTTACCATTTCTTAACTTAGTACCCTTTTTCATCACTAAATATGGCCCTAAATTGACGTTTTTTAACCTCTTAATGCGGCACCGCGCGGACCGCGTCCAATCTATAAAAAAAAAAAAAAAAAAAAAAACACGCCTTAAAAGGCGTTTCTTTGTCACGCATGCTTACAGTATGTATATTTGACTGAGGCCCCCGAGCACCTCTACGACACTAGGGACTTTGAGATTTGCACGACGAGAGCGTGGACTGCCGCGTGTGACATTGTGTTAAGGCACTGGGCCGTCCCCGGCAGTGCCTTAAAAGGACGTGTACCTTAAAAGGATGTCACATTACCTTAAAAGGATGTCGCACGTGGCGGTCCACGTTCTCGTCGTGTAAATCTAAAAGTCCCTACTTACTAGAAGCAGTGAGCTGCAGACACGATCCATTGGTTGTCAATGAGGGTAGCTCCACACATGTGGTATCCACCCTGTCCGACAAGGTAGTTCTTCCTGATGCCGACCTGCCACGGCCAGGAGCCGGGCATGGCGGCGTCGCCTCCCACGATAAAGGTGTTGACGGGGTCGACGGCGGGCTTACCACAGTCTGCGAGAAGAAGAAGAAGAATACAAGAAGAAGAAGAAGAAGAAGAAGAAGAAGAAGAAGAAGAAGAAGAAAAAAAAGAAGAAGAAGAGGAAGTTGGGTTAGTGATGTAGACAAAATGGCATTGTTTAACGATGTTAAATCTGAGATGCATGGCCCTACATGTTATCAGTGTCTGTGATACGGTGAAATAATCACTATGAACATGGTGAACAATGAAAGCGGACAAAATATACAGTTCCTCGGGTAGACAAAGGAACATCCCTTTACTGCTTTTATGTAAAAATGTGTGGAACAGGTGTCACATGCATATTCACCTGTTCTACACATTTTTACATAATAGCAGTGAAGGGATGTTTCTACCTGAGAAACTGTATATTTTGTCCGCTTTCTTTGTCCACCATGTTCATAGTGAATGAAGCCCTAACAAAAAATGCGCTCCAAATGATCATGAAGTGCCTCAAAAAAATAAAAAAATTTGAGTGACCGGTTTTACCATACTCATTTTCCCCAATAGACTGTAGTGTTATCAAAACCGTTAGGAAAACGCACAATGAAATTTAATTTTCAATCATAATTATCTTGATAATCAGACAGGCGATCGGCTTGTAAAAGTTATGGGGCTCCTGACTGACCTAAAGGTTTATAATTATCATTGCAGCATGAGCTAAATCCAGGATTTTGTTTCAGAATCTGAGATAAAATTACCAGATCCCTTGATGCTGCGTCTTTGCATTTGGCGCACTGCATTTCTATGATGCTGTTGATTGAACAAATTGAATAAATTCATCAATTCCTGATGAAGTCGTATGAGCGAGAATTCAATTTATTGTTGTCTCATATACGGTTGTCTTATTTACTTCGTATATATATGTATTTATTATGAAAATGTGATAGCAAAATGTGTATATTGATGGTCATCTTGCGAGTAATAACCATTAACTACTCTCATCGGACTCTCACCATTAATTTTTCTCTTCATTTTTTATTTTTTATTTTTTTATGGTGAACTATTGGGGGGGGGGGGGGGGGATGATTGTACAGGCCATCACCCCACCTGAAATATTTTTTTTTTTGGGGGGGGGGATATATCCCCCCATCCCCCGGGATCGACACCCATGATTAGGACACTGCTAACGTTACAATTTCACAGATATGACATACGTGACATATTCATAATTCATGCAAAGTTCTACAGAATTTGAAGTTGGCTGCAAATGGGACATAGTATCTTTTTGTTTTAACAGAGATGGCGCCATTTAATAATGATCCATTTTGAACAAGAAATCTTCCATGTCATTTGATAATCTTCGTCCATAATCATGAACAGAATACCAAACACAAAGAGTATTTGACATGCATGTACAGCAAAGCTTAAAGAGACATTTTTTTGTAGATATGATTGAAATTTGGCAAATACAAAATTTAAACTTTCTTTGTAGGTGAGTGTAAATGGTATTTTTTTTTTCTTGAAGGTGTACATGCTATTAGACAATTATGTTTCGGTATCATACAGAGAATATACTCTCTTTACCAATATAGAAAGAGAAACATCTTTTAGAAAATAGGTGTTTAGAACTCTCTCTCTATACGTGCCATATCCTGAGACGTTGGCGACCATTAAGTGCCACAACTCTCTGTCCCATATTCTATAAAATAATTCATTCTCCCCGAGATCAATTCCACTATCAGAAATCCTACTTCTTTTAGCTACTCATCCATAGAATCCTCCTTCTACCCCTACTTCTCCTCCCCTTGATTCTTCCAGTCGGTGCAAGATTTTCCAAACCTTTCTTTTCTTTCGTATAACATGACCCAAGAAGCTCACCTGTCGACCACTAATATTATTCAGAACCTTTCGTCTTCTTCCTGCCATGGCAAATACCTCATTATTTGAAACTCTTTCTGTTCATGAAATTCTTATAGCATCCCTCTTAGGAAACGAACTTCACAACTTTCCAGTCGTTTTCTTAGGTCTGATGTCAGGGACGAACCTCCACTAACAATAAATTAGAACATAATATCGGCCTCGATTGAAAGAGCAGACAAACATTTTGAACAACCACGAAGGAACCAAACTTCACAACTTTCCAGTCGCGTTCGAAGGTCTGATGTCCGGGACCAAACTCTAATAGCAATCCATTAGAACATAATATCGGCATCGATTGAAAGAGCAGACAATAATTTCGAACAACCAAGAAGGATATTTTTGTTCTTGCAAAAACTTACCGGCCAGAGCGGCAGCGACGCAGGAGAGGAGTACGATTGCCTTCAACATGATGAGAGCTTCCAGGTTCTTCTTCCAGAACTGTAGTCGAGATGACTTGTAGGAAACCTCCGAATCCGCCACCTTTATACCAAACTGGTATCATCTTAATCCGATTTAATAAGGGCTTAGTTTTGGGGACGCGTGTGGCCTATCTTAATCCTGTCTTAAGCCAGACGTGTGCGTAGATGTGACGTTAATAAGGTCCAAGATAAGAACAAATGACCTTGCATTCATATGCATCATGTTACGATTAAAACAAAACATACTTATACTTTACGTATATTTCTAACTTCTATGTTTGTTGAAACCAACCCCCGGCCTATCTTCAATTCAAATCAATACTTGGTTGCCAAAACTGTGAGAAAAAGAGCATTTTGCTAAATTTCACAAAAATGTGAATATGTGAATAAATGTGAGTAAATGTGAATATTGCCTTTATTGCTTGCTTCAAAGGCATTATTTTATAATTATTGCAATTATATTAGTCTATGAGAAACTAAATAAAATGGTTTATATTGTTGAAATGCGTTAATGAATCATTATGTATTTTATTTTAAAGAATACTCCTGTGAAACTTCCGCTTTTGCGAATAGCACACCAATGAAACCTAAATTTACAATATGTTTAATCTTTGTTCATTAGGATTAGTATCACCGCTTATTATTTCCGTGAAATATAACCTCATTTATATCAATTACAAAGTTTAAAGAAAAATATTTCATAACTTTATTTCAGCCAGAACTGCATGAACAAATCTTAATTCAACATAGAGAAAGATGAGATTAATATGCAAAATTTGTAATGATGTAACGATATAACAAAAAGAACAACAACAACAAAAACAACAACAAAGCACTACGTATATAATAATAATAAATTGATAGATATCTTAGAGATCTATATGAAATTATTTTTACTACAAAGTAACAATATATGAAATGATAATTCCATTGCTACGCGTTTTGTTGTAAATTTACTTTTTTGCCCTCGCGAATTCACTGCTCCACAGTTCAAAATTAACACAAAAATCAACCGAAACAGACTTTTAATGTGCTTACATTGCTAGTTTGCATGATTCAGGGACTCCTTAACTACTATTCTACTACAAATTAAGTGTTTCCAAGTAAAAAATAAAATGTTAAATGATTATTTCGTCTCCTCTGGTATGAATTATTACACAATCCAGGCTAATGACTACCCAACAAACCTATTGGCCCGAATTCACAAAGGAGGTTTGTCGACAAACCTCCTTTTGTTTTTTTACAAACCAGGTTTGTAAAAAACGCGTCAAAACGCGTCATATGACGTACATAAACATCGGTTTGTCGACAAACCTCCTTTGTGAATCCGGGCCTTTAGGTGCCAATTAGTCATGTGCAAGATTTGATACACGCAAACATAATTATGCTGGGAATCTCGCTCAACAATCCTAGTTTTCGGAGATTTCCCTTTTTCCCTTTCAGTTAAATCAAGCAATATGAAATATGTTGTCTTATTCTAGAACTTACATGTACTCTGTAAACTTTTTTTTGTCTCGTAGTTACTTATAAATATTTTATATTTATATTCATTTCTAGTATAATTTATTTGTTCTTTTATATATTGTAATACTGTATAGTGTGTAAATGAAATTTCAATTTTGGATATTTGAGTGGGAAAAAAAAGAAAAAAAAGAGAAAAAGAAAAATCATATCAATGGTTACCAAATTATCTTCAATGGCCTTCAATATGTAAAAATGTCATCTATTCATACATACAATATACATCGATCTACCAACTACCTTTGCCTTATGTTTTGATTAAAACCACGATAAACCACGATCTCCTGCACGTGTTACGAACCGCTGCCTCCATGTCCACTACCTGTATTACGTAACAATATTTATGTTAATCTGCTTATTTGATATCATCACTGATGCCAGGATATATTTCAGTATCGTGATCTGGTTATCATTATTCTATTTATAAAAATAAGGTTTCAATGCCTATAACCTAGGTATAATACCATCTAATCTGATATAACAGAGACATATGGTTTCGAGATACTGCCGTGATAACATTTGTAAATATTTCAGGCTAAAATCAGCGCCCAAACACACACACCCACCCACCACAACACACACACACACACACACACACCACTTCGCTCACTCAAAAAAGTTTACACGTAGAAAATTAATAATCACTTAAAAAAAACAATCTATGAACAGTAAATGATTAAACATCTTATGAAAGAGTGTTTTATCCCAAATCATTTGATATAATTAAATGTGTGGTATGTGCTCACGTGTAAAAGAACAGGATACCTTCTATTATCAATCTCTAATTTTGATACATTTCAGTCATTCTCTCACTTTAATACTTTGGCGTAAGTCGATTTTTGCACTCCATATGGAGTTTGCTTGGATTTGTCTCATAAAACAAGTTGACCACAAACTAACTCCCACACGGTGTTGAGTGCTCAGGGGTCACGGGCCACTTTTTAAGCGGACACTTTTTTTCTTTTTTTGGTCTCGAAATTTGAAAATTTGACATTTTTCATCGTTGGGGGGGGGGGGGGGGGTAAGGTCACCTTTTTTAGGTTAGCCGTGGGCATATATATATATATATATATATATTTTTTTTAAATAATTAAAAAAAAAAAAAAAAAAATCCAAAGGGGGGGGGGGGGGGGGGGGGGGGTGGGTTTTAGGTATTTTTAGGGGGGTTTACACACATAAAAATACCAAGGGGGGGGGGGTTTGAACCCCCCAACCCCCCCCCCCCCCTTCGTACGCCCCTGCATATAGTTGGTAAAAGACTCCGCATGAAACTATAAAACCAAAATGTAATTTGCGTTCTGGCAATTGGAGTACAAAGAAGGATAGCAGGTGAATGAAATGCTTCATCAAGGCACAAACACCTGGGAAGGAGGCATCCATAAATTTGAATAATTTAGTTGATAAACGACTCCGCATGTGGACGTTTAATGGTAGAGCAGTGGATTCTTAATAACACGAACCCATTTAACAGGATGTAAATTAAATTTGGCGCGGTTGGAAAATGCAAGTTTGTACCCTGCGACTTTAATGGTACGATCAAGTAAATTAAAACAGTAAAATGGCTCTTATTTTAAAATTATTCATCAAATGGAACCCACAACGTCAGAGATATCAGACAAAATATGTTATATCTTAATAATAATTTAAAAATGTGTATAAACATTGTGAAAGTGTATCATTTTACGATAAAAGACACCGATTTAGCGAAGATGACGTCATTAGAACCTGTTTATGTGCGCTTGCATCAGGGAATTCAAGGTCAAAAGGTCAATTCAGACGCTGATAAGTTATTGGTCAAGCCTTTTTGTTTCCTTTATTCCGACAAAATTATACAATCAACCAAAACAAGTTTAATACCAGAAGAAAGGTAACGATTAGTATTTTCATTAACCGCTTGCCCAAAGTCGCTTGACCACAGTGAAACGAGTAAGAGCTTGCGAGAGCGGCCAAAGTGTGATTCAAACTCGCTATTTGCTCTTCTCCAACGCAAAAAGAGACGACATTGTGCTTGATAAATATATCTTTTCCGACAAATGTACAGTAAATTTGCATATGGTCTTTTTGTATTATACTTTATGAAATGTTACCCGAGTGACTTCCGGGCACCCCAATGCTGGAAAGAAACGCACATTTTAGAAAACTTTGTTCTATGCACGCAAGTCACATTAAGCGGATGATACAACGTTTCCATATGCGCAAACAATGCCTCCTGTTCATCCAAGCGTAAACACATACCACACAAACATGATATCAAACGATTAGGGATATAACACTCTTTCAAATTCGTTCATAGCTGACTTTTAAAATAAATGACAATTTTCTAAGTGTAAACTTTCTTTTGACTCAAACGAATATAGACATATTCGTGTTAGCATTTACTTTAATGAAATAAACTTAACTGGAATCGTGTTAACACTTACTAGTCAAAACACTCCAGATTTAGCCTTCATGAATCTCAGCAAAAACGTACAACAGGTTGAACAATTTTCCCTTTCTTTCAAGGACTTCAAACAAATAATAGAATCGAAACCTGTAATTGCCAATTAGGTCATCCATTATTTTATTCAAACAATGAATTCGGAGGATTCGCCATTAGGGGTTTTAGTAATGGACAATTTCCGTCTCTTGATAAAATCTATTGGCAAATAGCAATACCCATTAAATTATGCAACGTTTACTTCTTTCTTTCTTTCTTTACAAAAATCGTTTGCGGCAGCGACTGACGGGGTCTTTTACTTTCTTGTGATAATGATATCGCACATAAAGTGAATACAAAATCAATTAACTGAACAAATTTGCTTTGTATTGAGAGAGAGGGAAAGAGGGGGGGGGGGGGGGGGGGTGCAGGAGGGTATATGCAGAGAGAGGGAGCGAGAACTGATCTTCGTACGTTTTACGGTCTACAAAATTTGTAACAGCCCCCAAAGCGAAAAATCCCTCGCTAAAACGAAATAAAGGAAATACAAGAGAAATATCACATTTCTTCGAAACACTGCAAGTTGGTCACTTAAATTTGTTATTGGGTATCCTAATTATGACTTGTCCCTTTTATCGAAAACCTTTAATCACAAACGCACGTATTGTGTTTGACGAATACGAATTATCCGACCAGAAAAGATTTCGTGCCTCGGCCGGGAAAAACAAATAAAACGGTTTAGGTTAATCACGGAACCTTTATGTCAAGTGCTCTTAATGAACAGAGTAAATAAAGACTCGTTCACTCTGCTAACAAAGAAAGGGAAAGTGCTTTTTAACATAAATGACTTTCTAGATATAATTATGTTGAATTTGTGAGTGCTGTCATGAGGGGCACTTTAATGTTAACATTGCAAGGAGAATTTCTGTGGTATAACCCTTTATCATCGTGACTATAAAACGTTCTGCAAACACTAACAAAAATTACTTGAGCTAGAGACATCTGAAATTAAAAATTGATTTTAGCAATCAGTTTGTATTGATGTCGACAGCATTAATTCACAAAATATAAACTTCGACTATTACTGCCTGTGATTGTATGCGTCA